GATTCCTCCTAAACAGACTTCTTCCTGAGGCGGAAAACTTCCTCCCAGAATCTCAATGCTGCTTTAGACCATCACGTGGCACCACTGACATGATCTTCGCTGCCCGTCAGATACAGGAAAAGTGCAGAGAACAGCGTCGTGACTTGTACATGTCTTTCATCGACCTAACCAAGGCCTTCGACTCGGTCAACAGGGAAGCCCTCTGGTAGACCCTCAGCCGTTTTGGCTGTCCACCAAAATTCATCGCCATTGTGAGGCAACTCTATGATGGCAAGAATGGCAGTGTCCTGCACAACGGCACCCAGTCTGAGTTCTTCCCCATTCAAACGGGGGTTAAACAAGGGTGTGTACTGACACCAACTCTCTTTTCCATTTTCTTGGCTGCCTTCCTTACTCGTGCCAGCGCCAATCTAGCTGGCAGGGTGGACATCGAGTACCGGATGAAGGGTGTTTTCAACATAAGACGATTCCAGGCAGGAACTAAGATGTCGGCAGCTTCCATTACTGAGCTTCAGTCCACAGATAACCTCACCCTTGTCGCTTACACTGAACGCGACCTACAGGAGATCCTGAACATCTATGCAGATGCGCACGCACACTTCGGTCATGAGGTGAATGTATGTAAGACTCAGATTCTCTTTCAGCCTGCCCCTGGTTCAGCCACACCTCCACCATCCATCCAGCTTAACGGTACTACCCTCTCTAATGTTACCCACTTTCGGTATCTCGGCTCCCACCTGTCCACCACCGCAGACATCAATGAAGAGATTCAGCATGGGATCAGATGTGCATCTCAAGCCTTTGGCAGACTCCGAAACCGTGTCTTCAGCTGTAGGGAGCTGAAATTATCTAAAAAGTTACACGTATATCGAGCAGTGGTCCTCCCCACCCTACTATATGGCAGCGAGACATGGGTCACATACAGGAGGCACCTCAAGGCACTTGAAAACTTTCACCAACGTAGTCTACGTTCCATCCTCCGTATTCGCTGGGAAGACAAGAGAACAAATGTCAGTATTCTTGCTGACACCAACTGAAGAGGAGCATCGAGGCTACCATTATCCATGAACAACTATGCTGGATTGGCCACGTTACCCGCCTGGACGACAGTAGTAGACTGCCAAAGCAGCTACTTTACAGTCACCTAACGAATAGCAAACTTAATGCTGGCGGGCAACTGAAAAGGTATAAAGATAGTTTTAAAACAAACCTGAAAAAGTGCCAAATCGACCCCCTCACCTGGGAGACGATTACTCCACACTGTAACGCTAGGAAGAGCACCACACAAGAAGGTGTCAATACTTTCGGGTTAACCCGACTGCACAACGAGGCAGACAAGCGCCAACGCCGGAAAGACGCTGCCGCCGCCCTTCCCCCACTAGATGTAGCCCCCCACATGTGCAACATCTGTGATCGACCCTGCCGGTCCCGTATCGGCCTCTTTAGTCACATCAGAACTCACCAACCTATTAGGTGACATCCTTAATAACTCATATCATTGTATCATAGCTGGATGATCGTCATACTCGATTCCGAGTGACAGCAAAGTAGTAGTACATTATAAAACAAGCGAGCGTCGACACTATTAAGAGGAAGCCTTCACACAAAGGTCCATCGACCCATTCATCCCACGCTCGACCAGAGTGCATCACTAAAGTCGAGTTGACACCCAAGGATAATTCACTCAACAACTTCACGGTGTCAATAACCCTGACAGCTAAATGTACTCAAAGGAAACAATAAATAAACACGAGGTTGAGAGTTACTAATGAGGTGAACACTATAGAGACTGAGTAAGGTTAATGGGGTTAATTATCCTGACCGTTTTGGTCGAGTTCGATTGTCTTGGTAGATGAAATTATGGACTTGATGCTCACCTGTTTTCATTAATAGCAGGAAGTAGATTATCAGGTAGAGAAATACGCGTTAGTTTTTAGCCCCTCTTTAACCATACGAGTAGCAGCATCCTGGTCGTATAGTAAGATAAGGAACATCGTATAATTACTTACAAACGTTCCTGACCGCTTATTCATATCCATAACCGTAGATCGTTCTTGTAGGTAGATCTTAAATCCTGACTTGAGATACTTGGGGTGAGTTAGGTTAGGATATTGTACATTAATTTGGCTTAGGTTAGCTTACTGTACATTAATCTGGATTAGATTAGGATTCTGTACATTACGATAGGATTGATTGGGTTAAGTTAGGTTACTGTACATTACTTTGGGTTAGGTAAGGTTAGGTTAGTTTATTGTACAGTTAGGTAAGGTTAGGTTGTTGTTCAGTTTGGTTAGATTATTGGACAATAAGATAGGTTTAAGTTATTTTACGTAACTCTTTATTAAGTTAGGTTATTGTGCGTTGCAGTAGGTCGGGTTACGTGGAGTTGCACTATATTTAATTACGTTACGTTAAGGTGGGTTGGCTTAAAGGACTGTTGAGGCTGGTGGTCTGTGTCGGGTGTCATTTCTCTGTGCCATTCCTCCCATGTGTCACTCCTCTGTCATGTATTCATTCCTCTGTGTCATATGTCATTCCTCTATGTCAAGTGTAACTCCTGGCTTGTGTGTTTCCTCTGTGTCATGTGTTACTCCTCTGTGTCAAGTGTCACTCCTTTGTGTGCCATGTGTCATTTCTCTGCGGCAAGTGTCATTCCTCCCATGTATTATTCCTGTGTGTGTCATGTGTCACTCCTGTGTATCGTGTGTCACTCCTCTTTGTGTGTGTTTTGTGTCACACCATTTGTGTGTGTGTGTCATAGGTCTTTCATCTGTGTGGATAGCATGTGTCACTGTGGTACCTATTTCGTTCATCTGTGTCATGTGTCACTCTTGTCTGCAAATGTTATGACTCATCAGCTTGTCATATGTCACGCCTCTGTCATGTATCACGACTGTCTGCGTGTGTCATATCTCCTGTTTGCCTGTTATGTGTCACGCGTCTATGTATCACGGCTGCCTACGTGTGTCGTATCCCGTATGGATCATGCGTTACACCTCTGTCCATTCCACTTCTCGTTTTATGTGTTCTTCCCTGATTTGCTATCCTCTCTCCTTTCTTCGTCTTCTTCTTCTGTTTCCTCCTTTCTATTTTTCCACTTTGTTTTCATCTTATTTTTCTTTTAACTATTTTTGTATTTTTATATTGCTTTCTATTTATGCTCCTTATTTAATATTTTCTTTCTATTTGTTTTATTTTAATTTTTTTCTTAGTTTTCCCTTGTAATTTTACGTTTTCTTTCATTACGTTTTCTATGAATCATTTGTTTTTCTTTATCCTCTTATGTTATTGTTTCCTTACGTTTGTGTTTACATGATGTTTAGTTTCTTTTGTTTTGTTTATAATTGTTCTATTTACTCTCTCTCTCTCTCTTTCTCCAACTTTTATCCCTTCCTCTTACTAATTACCCTATTAACTTACCTAATTACCTCCTGCCCAATTACCATATATATTGTTTAATTACTTTTTAGTCTGTTATTTAATATCCTCAATTACGTATTCATCTGTTTAGCTTATTTTTTCCTCTGCCTGTTACCCAATTCCCGTATTTATCCAATTATCTGGTATCAAGTTACCTTATCTGTTTAATTTACCAGTATATCTGATTATCTTATTTATCTAATTACGTGTTATCAAGTTATCTTTAATTAGCTTAGTGTTAATACCCCAATCCCTCCCTGTTGTCAGTGTTTGTAAATTAAACTAGCCCTACCTTCGTCCTGTGTGTGTGTGTCCCAGTAAGAGCATGTACGTGTGTGTCCCAGTAAGAGTGTGTACGTGTGTGTCCCAGTAAGAGTGTGTACGTGTGTGTCCCAGTAAGAGCATGTACGTGTGTGTGTGTGTCCCAGTAAGAGTGTGTACGTGTGTGTCGTGTGTGTCCCAGTAAGAGTGTGTACGTGTGTGTCCCAGTAAGAGTGTGTACGTGTGTGTCCCAGTAAGAGTGTGGACGCGTATCCCTGTATGTGTGTGTGTGTGTGTGTGTGTGTGTGTGTGTGTGTGTGTGTGTGTGTTTTGTGTGTGTGTGTGTGTATATGTGTGTACTAAGCGGTTATACAGGACCTATTTAACTTATCATCAACAGTAAGATCAAGTTTGGTTTAACCATTTGTTATAATGTCTGAATTTCTCCCATAAATTTTATCACCATTTTCGGACAGTGTTGATATTCCCCAGTTACCAAAAAGAAGAAGACAAAATGAATTTGTGAATATATATATATATATATATGTAATTTTTTCTTGTTGTGTTTATGCTAAAGAGAACCATAATTATTTCAAGTTACTTTATGAAATGATTTTTGTAATGTTTCACCCATACTCTTTGATTTTATGTCTTTGTCTGTCTTTATGTACTTTTATGTTTGTGTGTCTCTCTCTCTCTCTCTGTCATTACATTTCTTCTTTTTATCTCTCTCTCTCTCTTAGAATCACTCTTTTTCTTATCTCGCTGTCCTTCATTTCCGTATTTCCTCTCTCTTTCCCTCCTTCCTTTTCTTCCCTCTCTTCACCCTTCCCCTTTCCTTTCCTCCTTTTTTTCAATCTCTCTTTCTCTTTGTTTCAGGTATTCTCTTCTCTCTTTGTTCGTCTTGGTCCGTGAAGTGTTTTTCTCTTTTTAACTTCTCGAATTATTTCTCGTACCATCCCACTCATCGTCTCATGTTTACATCTATCAGCTGTGTTTACGTCAGTCAGCTGTTTTCACTTCCATCAGCTGTATTTACATTTAACAGCTGATTGCAGTGTATCGCCTTCCTCCCTACAGGTGTTCAGCTGACTTAATGACGTGATTATTTGTGTTTGTGTGTCTGTGTGTTTTTATGTGCGTGTGTGTGTATTTATTTATTTTTCTATTATCTATGACGTTCCATACAATCATCTCGTGTACTTCTGCATCTGTCGCTAAACGTCTGTATTTTCGCTCGTATTTCTTTATCACACAATTGTACCTTTCTTTACATGTTATTTAATTTCATTTCTCCCCCCTTGTATGTCTTTCTTTAGGCTACCTCTTTCTCCCCTACGGTAGGTATTTTAATCTCGTTCTTCTTTCTCTTTCTTTCATCCGTAGAGGTTTGAATCTCTCGCCCTCTATATATATATTTATATTATATCCCTCTTCCTACATGCTCTTAGTACTCTTGCCCTGGTCTATCTCTTGATTGTGTTAATATAATATTGCATCCATTCCCAGTGACTTTTGTAGTACGGCAGGTGTTCTTCCCTTTCCCCCTTCCCACTCCTTCCTCCTCTTCCCAAATCGCTGCCATATTTTTTTTTCTCTCATGCATGATTCTCCCCTTCGTCATCTAATTTTTTCTTACTCCCGTAATCCTTCTATCTTGCCCACTATCTCCGTTTTATTAGGAGCTTGTTTTATCTACCCCTTTCAAGTAATTGTCGACCTGTTAAGCTATAGAATTTTGCCCCGATATACTGTAGCTATTTACTGAACCTGGAAAACAACTGCTACTGAGAGACACCTGTTTATACTGACATAAAATGTTACTGAGACACTTGTTTATACTAACATAAACTGTTACTGAGACACTTGTTTTTACTAACTGTTACTGAGAGACACATGTTTATACTGACATAAACTGTTACTGAGACACTTCTTTATACTGACAAACTGTTACTGAGAGACACTTGTTTTTACTAAGATAAACTGTTACTGAGAGACACTTGTTTATACTGACATAAACTGTTACTGAGAGACACTTGTATATACTGACATAAACTGTTACTGAGAGACACTTGTATATACTGACATACACTGTTACTAAGAGACACTTGTTTATACTGACATAAACTGTTACTGAGAGACACTTGTTTATACTGACAAACTGTTACTGAGAGACACTTGTATATACTGACAAACTGTTACTAAGAGACACTTGTATATACTGACATAAACTCTTACTGAGAGACACTTGTATATACTAACATAAACTGTTACTGAGAGACACTTGTTTATACTGACAAACTGTTACTGAGAGACACTTGTATATACTGACATAAACTGTTACTGAGAGACACTTGTTTTTACTAACAAACTGTTACTGAGACACTTGTTTATACTGACATAAACTGTTACTAAGAGACACTTGTTTATACTGACAAACTGTTACTGAGAGACACTTGTATATACTGACATAAACTGTTACTGAGAGACACTTGTATATACTGACATAAACTGTTACTGAGAGACACTCGTTTTTACTAACAAACTGTTACTGAGAGACACTTGTTTATACTGACAAACTGTTACTGAGAGACACTTGTATATACTGACATAAACTGTTACTGAGAGACACTTGTATATACTGACATAAACTGTTACCGAGAGACACTTGTATATACTGACATAAACTGTTACCGAGAGACACTTGTATATACTGACATAAACTGTTACTGAGAGACACTTGTTTTTACTAACAAATTGTTACTGAGACACTTGTTTATACTGACAAACTGTTACTGAGAGACACTTGTTTATACTGACATAAACTGTTATTGAGAGACACTTGTATATACTGACAAACTGTTACTGAGAGACACTTGTTTATACTGACAAACTGTTACTGAGACACTTGTATATACTGACATAAACTGTTACTGAGAGACACTTGTATATACTGACAAACTGTTACTGAGAGACACTTGTATATTCTGACATAAACTGTTACTGAGAGACACTTGTTTATACTGACAAACTGTTACTGAGAGACACTTGTATATACTGACATGAACTGTTACTGAGAGACACTTGCATATACTGACATAAACTGTTACTGAGAGACACTTGTTTATACTGACATAAACTGTTACTGAGAGACACTTGTATATCCTGACTGTTACTAAGAGACACTTGTTTATACTGTCATAAACTGTTACTGAGAGACACTTGTATATACTGACATAAACTGTTACTGAGAGACACTTGTATATACTGACATAAACTGTTACTGAGAGACACTTGTATATACTGACATAAACTGTTACTGAGAGACACTTGTATATACTGACATAAACTGTTACTGAGAGACACTTGTATATACTGACATAAACTGTTACTGAGAGACACTTGTATATACCTGACTGTTACTAAGAGACACTTGTTTATACTGACATAAAATGTTACTGAGACACTTGTTTATACTGACATAAAATGTTACTGAGACACTTGTTTATACTGACATAAACTGTTACTAAGAGACACTTGTTTATACTGACAAACTGTTACTGAGAGACACCTGTTTATACTGACATAAAATGTTACTGAGACACTTGTTTATACTGACATAAACTGTTACTAAGAGACACCTGTTTATACTGACATAAACTGTTACTGAGAGACACTTGTATATACTGACATGACTGTTACTAAGAGACACTTGTTTATACTGACATAAACTGTTACTGAGAGACACTTGTTTATACTGACAAACTGTTACTGAGAGACACTTGTATATACTGACAAACTGTTACTGAGAGACACTTGTTATACTGAACATAAACTGTTACTGAGAGACACTTGTATATACTGACATAAACTGTTACTGAGAGACACTTGTTTATACTGACATACACTTGTATATACTGACATAAACTGTTACTGAGAGACACTTGTATATACTGACATAAACTGTTACTGAGAGACACTTGTTTATACTGACATAAACTGTTACTGAGAGACACTTGTATATACTGACAAACTGTTACTGAGAGACACGTGTTTATACTGACATAAACTGTTACTGAGAGACACTTGTATATTCTGACATAAACTGTTACTGAGAGACACTTGTTTATACTGACATACACTGTTACTGAGAGACCCTTGTTTTTACTAACAAACTGTTACTGAGAGACACGTGTTTATACTGACATAAACTGTGACTGAGACGCTTGTTTATACTGACATAAACTGTTACTGAGAGACCCTTGTTTATACTGACATAAACTGTTACTGAGAGACACTTGTTTATACTGACAAACTGTTACTGAGAGACACTTGTATATACTGACATAAACTGTTATTAAGAGACACTTGTTTATACTGACATAAACTGTTACTGAGAGACACTTGTATATACTGACATAAACTGTTACTGAGAGACACTTGTTTATACTGACAAACTGTTACTGAGAGACACTTGTATATACTGACATAAACTGTTACTGAGAGACACTTGTATATACTGACATAAACTGTTACTGAGAGACACTTGTTTATACTGACAAACTGTTACTGAGAGACACTTGTTTATACTGACAAACTGTTACTGAGAGACACTTGTATATACTGACAAACTGTTACTGAGAGACACGTGTTTATACTGACATAAACTGTTACTGAGAGACACTTGTATATTCTGACATAAACTGTTACTGAGAGACACTTGTTTATACTGACATACACTGTTACTGAGAGACCCTTGTTTTTACTAACAAACTGTTACTGAGAGACACGTGTTTATACTGACATAAACTGTGACTGAGACGCTTGTTTATACTGACATAAACTGTTACTGAGAGACCCTTGTTTATACTGACATAAACTGTTACTGAGAGACACTTGTTTATACTGACAAACTGTTACTGAGAGACACTTGTATATACTGACATAAACTGTTATTAAGAGACACTTGTTTATACTGACATAAACTGTTACTGAGAGACACTTGTATATACTGACATAAACTGTTACTGAGAGACACTTGTTTATACTGACAAACTGTTACTGAGAGACACTTGTATATACTGACATAAACTGTTACTGAGAGACACTTGTATATACTGACATAAACTGTTACTGAGAGACACTTGTTTATACTGACAAACTGTTACTGAGAGACACTTGTTTATACTGACAAACTGTTACTGAGAGACACTTGTATATACTGACATAAACTGTTACTGAGAGACACTTGTTTATACTGACAAACTGTTACTGAGAGACACTTGTATATACTGACATGAACTGTTACTGAGAGACACTTGCATATACTGACATAAACTGTTACTGAGAGACACTTGTTTATACTGACATAAACTGTTACTGAGAGACACTTGTATATCCTGACTGTTACTAAGAGACACTTGTTTATACTGTCATAAACTGTTACTGAGAGACACTTGTATATACTGACATAAACGGTTACTGAGAGACACTTGTATATTCTGACATAAACTGTTACTGAGAGACACTTGTATATACTGACATAAACTGTTACTGTGAGACACGTGTTTATACTGACATAAACTGTTACTGGGAGACACTTGTATATACTGACAAACTGTTACTGAGAGACACTTGTATATCCTGACTGTTACTAAGAGACACTTGTTTATACTGACATAAACTGTTACTGAGAGACACTTGTATATACTGACATAAACTGTTACTGAGACACTTGTATATACTGACATAAACTGTTACTGTGAGACACGTGTTTATACTGACATAAACTGTTACTGTGAGACACGTGTTTATACTGACATAAACTGTTACTGAGAGACACTTGTATATACTGACATAAACTGTTACTGAGAGACACTTGTATATACTGACATAAACTGTTACTGAGAGACACTTGTATATACTGACATAAACTGTTACTGAGAGACACTTGTATATACTGACATAAACTGTTACTGACACAATTGTTTATACTGGCATAGATTTTTACTGAGACACTATACATATAATCTAACAGACGCACTAAAGACACTATATATAAACTGACAGACATATTAGAGACACTATATAAACTGACAGACATACTAAAGACATTATAATTAAACTGACAGACATATTAGTGACACTATATAAACTGACAGACATACTAAAGACATTATGATTAAACTGACAGACATATTAGTGACACTATATAAAACCCATATTATACGTAAAAGACACTATATAAAACTTGATGCATATATTAGATAATGTATATAAACTGACAGACATACTAAAGACATTATGATTAAACTGACAGACATACTGAAGACATTATAAA